AGAACTTCCGTTGTGCCCTTCACCTCGACATAAGCAAAACAAATTTGTTTTCTTCTGTTATGATTGATTTATTTTTCCGTTATTCCAGTTTGCTTCTCTTGAGTTGCATGTGAAGTACAGAATGTTTGCAGGATGTACAATCTAGCCATTTGGCTTTCGTCCATTTCTCTGGGACTACACTGGTTGCAACATTAATTAAATCATGCAGAGGGGTTTAGAGCAAAATTATTAACTGAGGTTTGACCAGAGAAAGACGAGTGAGTGGAAATATCAAAGACAGAGGGGCTGGGAGTGTAACTGCAGAGTATAGCACTTGCCTAACATGTGAGAGGCCCTGGATTCTGTCCCCAGCGTCACACACGTGCACACATACAATTCTTATTACTGAGGCAGAGACGGCTGGGAAGTAAAGAAGTTCTATGTCAGTCAGCTTTCGGTTATTCTAATCAACTTATAAAGAGAAAAGGTTTATTTGGACTCACAGAGGTTTCAGTCTATGGTCAGCTGGACCCATTACTTTTTTGGCCTGTGGTGACACAGCACATCACAGAAGAAGCATGTGGCAGAGGAATATTGCTCCCCTACTCGCAGGGACCCAAAAAAGGAATGTAAAGAATTTAGGGTCCCACCAGACCCTTTGAGGTCATACCTCAATGACCTGAAGATTTCTCCCACCTCTTAAATGTTCCACCACCTCCCAATAGTGCCAAGCTGAGGACAAATCCTTTTACGCCTTTTGGCTTTTGGTAAACATTCCAGATCCAAACTATAGCAGAGACCAAGAGAGGCTGTGGTTCCACCTGCCTCCTGAAGATGGAGATGATTCTCACCCCAGATATAATACCTCAGAGGCCAGGAAGATCTATGGGTAAAAAATGTACGGGCACTGTCCTTTCCACATGCACCCAAGTTGCCAATGTTTCTTTCCAGTGCTTCAGAGGAAAATGATGACACCCAAATCTTTAATGGTTCTTCCCTTTCCATTTTTGGGGTATAGTTGGGCACTGGAGTTGAACTCAGGGCCTCATGCATGCTAGGCAAACACTCTACCACTGAGCTACACCCCCAGCCCTTTTTGTTTTACTTTGAGACAGGGTCTCATTGTTACCCAGGTTGGCCTTGAATTTGCAGTCCTCCTGCCTCAGCCTCCCAAGTATCAGGGATCACACGCATGTGCTTCTCTCTCCACTTTTGAGGGGAGGGGTTGAGTTGGCTTAGCGTTTAGCTTCCCCTCAAAGGGTCCTCTTCTTTACACACAAATCCAACCACTTCCTGTTCTGTTTCCTGATAACTGCATGTTTATATCTTCCACTTTCAAGGCTACCATCCCAAGAGCCTTCCAGATGTTCCCTAAGTACCATTATCCCCAAGAGACTTCACTGCCAATCAGCAGGAGGCTGAGAAAAAGAGACAGCAGGCAACAAGCTCCCTCTGGGACCAGCACCGGCCAGCAGCTTTTGTGCTCGGTGGATTCTGGCCTGAAGACAGCACTTTCTGCTAGGCCCATCTGCTCATCTGAGCCCACAGAGGCTGCCCTAGGACTCAACTTCTGATCTCTCAGGTCAGAGGACTTTCTGTTCTTACCATTCACTCCTGGAAACTTGATCAGAGGCTGCCTGAGACGACTTGTGCATTGTTTAGCTTTTACATTATGATTTAAATTTTCCCCATGGGATATTTGATCTCAGATCCTTGAGAGCAGAGAAGCCTCTGGCACCAGCTAGTAATCTGGACACCTTTAGACTGCAGCCATGAATCGGAGAATCAGTTGTTCTTTTGTCTATGTTAGAATGCATGGCAGGAAGCTACAATAGATAATGATAGAACTCCTTTTGTTCTGAGATCATGCAAACCAACAAAGAGAAGGCCCTATTTAAAAGATGATAGAATCCCAAAAAATATATTTTTAAGTATTTTGACACTCCTTTAGATATATTATTTAATTTTTTTAAACCTTTGAGCCATTTTGTATAGGTGAGCTCCCCACAATACCACAGGTAGGGACAGAGGTGTCCTTGGATGGAAAGGTAATGATCTGCAATCGCCACAAGCTGTGATATCAATCAGTTCCATTCTGTCACTGCTAGTGAAAAGTCTTTATGCAAAAACCCTAGAGTTGGGCCTGGGGTTATGGCTCAGCGGTAGAGCGCTCACCTTGCCCGTGCAAGGTCCTGAGTTCAATCCTTAGCACCACATAAAAATAGTTATTGTGTTCAACTACAACTACAAAAATAAATATAAAAAAAGCCCTAGAGTCTTTATTTTGCAAAGTAATAATTTATTTCACTATAATCTCCTATTATTGTCCCTTAGCACCAAAAAAATAGTTCATTTATTTATTCATCATGTTTACTGAAAAATGACCACTCTATTCATAAGCCCTGGACTAGAAGCTGGGAATACAAAGTCATAAAATGAAGTTATTGCTCTCAAGGGATACTCCCTACATAGTGGGGTAACAAATAACTATGTGACATAGTTGGGTTATAATACAAATGCAGGGATAGAGAGGGACAATTAAAGAAGGCATCCTGGAGCTGAATCTAGCATGTGACTTTAGTCTTAAAGATGAGTTAGCCAGACCTAAGGTGTAGAACAGGAAAAAAAATATTGTGTTCGTTTGTGGCATAGGTCTGCCAATAGGTTCGTTTATGCCAAGGTAGGAGGTGTAAAAGAGACTGGTATGCACTAAGAAAGGAAGACAGTTCTGTTGGTATGGAGTGTTTGTTGGGTATGTGTGTTTGCTTTTGGAGAGGTGATAAAAATTCTGATGCCACATCTCATATGTATTTTATAGATAGGGAAGCCAGCTGAATATTTTTTTCAATCATGAAAACAAAATTATTAGGGTTGGTATAGGTAAGGTTGTTCTGGTGTGAAGAAAGAATTGGAGGGCCTGTAATCCCAGCAGCTCGGGAGGCTAAGGCAGAAGGATTGCAAATTCAAAGCCGGCCTCAGCAATTTAGCAAGGGTCTAAGCAACTCAGTGAGATCCTGTCTGTAAATAAAATACAAAAAAGGGCTGGGCATGTGGCTCAGTGTTTAAGTGCCTCTGGGTTCAATCCCCAGTACCACAAAAAAAAAAAAAAAAAAAGAAAAAGAAAGAAAAGAATTGGAGGGATATCATGCTGGAAGCCAAGAAAACAGAGGCTTGCTTAGCTGCTTGCCTCCCAGTCTAGACAAGAGCTACAAGAACCCATATTAAGGCAGAGGAGTCTTTAGAGAAAAACAGGAAAGAGACTGACAGAACTGGAGGCTGGATGGATGTGAGGGTGATATACAGCTTTGAAATGATTCCAAACACTTACACGGCTTGCTCTGCCAGGTCTCTTTTTGGAGTGTATTCCTCTTGTCTTTGAAAGTACAACATCATACCAGAACCCACATGGGAGAACTTGGAGGGAACTCCCTCTTCCCTAGGGAATGTGATATCCAACCTTATCAGACACCATATGTGAGTTACTGTCCTAGTTACTGACCTCAATTACTGGACTTTGAAATACATATACACAAAAGCTTGACATGCAATGGCAAGGCTACCGTCTGCAGGCTGCTTCTCTGAAAACCTAGAGCTCAGGCTGTAATAGGGTGATACCCTATTAACATTGGAGGGAATTTCCAAAGCCTTACCCACTGCTGTGGTCTGGATGTAAGGTGTCCACTGAAAGCTCCTGTAACAATTCAGAAATATTCAGAGGAGAAATGATCAGATTTTGAGACCTGTAACCTAATCAGTCCTAGTTTGAATGGACTAGGTGCTAACTGTAGGTAGGTGGGGTGTGGCTAGAGGAGGTGGGTCACTGAGGGCATGTCCTGAAAGGTTGCATCTTTTCCTGGCCCCTTCCTCTTACTATCTCTGTTTCCTGGCCCTGCATGATTGAAGAAGTGCTGCTCCACCACACTCTGCTGCCATGATGTTCGGCCTCATCTTGGGCCTAGAGATATGGACTCAGCCCACCCTTGAAACCATGAGCCAAAATGAACTTGGCCTATTCTGTGTTGTTCTTGTCCAGTATTTTGGTCATAGTGAGGAAAACCTATCACACCCACCAACACCTGCACCTCCCTCTAGATTGAGAGACCTCACATGTCTTGTACTCCACTTCATTAGTTAAACAGCTGCTCCAGATAATTGTATAAAGACACACACCTCAGGGGCTGGACATATAGTTCAGTGGTAGAGTGCTAGGCCTTGGATGCAATCGCCATTACCCTCCTCTGAAAAAGGATTCACCTCAAACTTTAATTAGACTTTTCTTTCCATACAGGCCTGTTTCCATTCTAGTCAAGCAATGGGACTCCAACAATTGTGGAGCTCACTCACTGTGGATTAATGTACCTCATCTATGGAAGCTGTTCCTTGGAAGGATAGTTCACATTATTTCCTTAAGCATTGTAAACTTAAGAAAAATTTTCTTTAGATACAATATACAGTAATTCATGAAACCATATTTTGATCATCTCCTTATTTCCACCATATTCAACAGAGGGTCAAGGAGACAGGAAGGGAAGGAAAATTTTGAGTCAACTCCTGGATGGTAAGGCCCACTTACTGACTTAAGGAATTCTAGATTTTTTTTTTAATTGCTGTTGTTTTTTCTTTTTAATGAGTAGAAAGACTGTACTTGTATTTGCACCAATAAATAATAATATTCATGATTTGTAACTTTTTAGCATCAGCTCACAATGTACCCCTTCCTGTGAAAATCACAGTGTCAATTTCATGACTGTGGCAAAGTGCACTAATTAAAGCTATCCTGCAGTTATTCAAATCCCTTTCCTCCTCCACATACTTTCTTTCTCCCACAGCAGACTCCCTCTACATAACCCACTCCCTACTGAAAGACACCAATCAGAGTTCAAACTCAAGGCAAGCATTGAGCAGTTCTGGGCTCTGGTGCAAGTATGATTTCTATAAAAAGACATTAGAAAATAAGGAGCAATGTTGCCATTTTGCCTTTAATGGAAAAGTGGCTAGCAGTTACAGTTAAAAAAAAAATCTTTTATTTAAAAAAACTACCCAACTTCTAGGCAATCAGTTTGAATTTTTAGTAACACACATACACTTGGAAACCAATAAAGTCTTTATAAAAATAAACTCTGAATGTGTGATTAAAAAGGGAGAGGTCCAGTCTTTGTAGCTGCACAAATGCATAATAAAAAGGACGTCAGTCTGTCTGAGATGTTTTACCCCAAGGTGGAGGGTGCTTTTACTTTGGAAGACAGAGCCTGCTTGAAGCGTCTCTTCAGGTCCTGCATGTTGGGAGAGCGAGGCCGGGGGATGATGGAGGCCCTTCTCCGCTCCCCACTGAGGCTGTGCAGCTTGCTCACTTCTTTGCAAAGATGCTGAAACACATCACAGACGTCTTCGTAGTTTTCACTAGTGGAAATTTCAAGGAATAGGCTGCCTAGCTCATTGGCTAGCTGAATACCATCATGCGTTTGTACCTGCCGGGCATGCAGAAGGTCCCCCTTATTGCCCACTATGATGACAGGGGCTTTAGAATCAGGATGAACCTTCCGGATATGCTGATAAAGGGGCCGGATGGACTGGTAGCTGTCATAGTCTGTGATGGAATAGACAAGAAGAAAGCCCTCGGCCCACTGCACGCACTTGGATAGAGAATCAATGGCCTGGCTGAGGTTGTCTTGGGCCTGAGGAAGATCAAAATGAGATCGGTCAAGGAAGCCCTCGATGAGAGGCAAGCTCAATTATAACATCAAAGTAACCCTTGAAGAAACACTGGGAAAAGAAAAACACTAAATATAGTTTACAGGTTCTACCCAGCTTCTGCTAAAGGAGACTTTTGACAGGGAGAGTGCAAATTCTTAAACTCCCTGCTTGGCTTATTTTATTTGCTGATATCCATGGGATATTTTTAAACCCTCTGCTTGACAGGCAATCTCTGGTGAACCCTGGCTGACTGAAGAATTACTTCAAACCAGAATGGCTCAATTTTTAGGGAACTAATTCATAATAAACAAAACTTTGAAAAGAAGCCAAGATAAATATCTATTCCCAAATCTATGAAAATATTTTTAGCAAGCAACTTCTTGAGAATGTTACAGAAACAAATTCCTCTCTTTGGGTTCTTCTCCTCCCTAGAAGGGATTAGCAATTAGTAACTTGTTAGTTAAGTTACATTCCAGAACTGGCCAAGGGGTTATCTGATTGCAATTCCTGACTTGGGGGAACAGCCAGTAACAGAAGCACTCCAGAAGAACTTGCTAACCAGAAAGACCCTCTCCCACCAGAATCCCACCAGTTTTTTCTGTTTTATTTTGTTTTATGTGATGCTGGGGATGGAACCCAGGACTTCATACATGCTAAGCACATTCTTTACCACTGAGCTATAGCCTGAGGCTGGGTTTGCTTTTTTAATTGTTTCATGGTTGATCTCTGAAACTGGTAAGACCCACCTAAGTAGTGATAGTCTGCCAGGGCAGCAGAGAGAAGTGTCAGGGAGCTAAGAGGAAGCTACTTCTTCTTTTTTTTTAAATATTTATTTATTTATTTATTTTTTAGTTTTCGGCAGGCACAACATCTTTGTTTGTATGTGGTGCTGAGGATCGAACCCGGGCCGCACGCATGCCAGGCGAGCGCGCTACCGCTTGAGCCACATCCCCAGCCCATAGGAAGCTACTTCTAACCAACCTCACCTTGGAGGACTTCCAACACTACAATTTCCAGTCCCACACTTGTAGACGGTTGACTCTTACATTTAAATGTATACCTTTAGCATGTCACTGGGACCCACAGCACAGCCTCTGACCAGCTATATGCTGGTCTCCCCTCACCCCCACCCTGGCCCCACTTCCATCCCCCACCCCAGAATGTTCTAGCAGGGGCTCTTTGCTTCTGGCAGTCTTTACCTGGATGCCCCCAGGAGTGTCCTGGATCTGCAGAGATAGCTGGTCTCCCTCCACATAGACGAGACGTGAATACAACTTGCCTAGAGAAGGAAAGAGAGTTTGCTTTTAAATTCCCACACTCGGATCAGCAAAAAGAAACATGAAGGCACAAAAATATTGATTATAAAATTATTTTAACCTGTATTCGGCTCATAGTCGCCAATGAATCTCTTGGTGAGGAAGCGCACAATCATTGCTGAAAAGGAAATAGGCAAAATCAATTCAAAGAGTAGAAGACAACAGCGACGGGCCTCTGAGCCGCATGCACGCCCTGAAGCCCAAGGTTCTGCAAGACCGGAGGTGCCATAAGTTGGTCTCCCTCAGCTTTTATGAAGGGACATACTGGAGGGACACTTCCTCCGGCAACCCCATTCTCAAACAGGCGTCCACCCCAGCGAAAGTCTTGGAGTATGCGCCCAGAAGAAGCAGGCGGGCGTAAAGGGGCCGGGATTGAAGGGAGACACTCTTAGCACCAAAACGGCCAGATTCATCCGGTCCCCAGCCCTCCAACCTCCACCAAAGCTCCCTCCCTGGAGGACCTCCAGTTGTCGCTGCAGGTCTCCGCCACTCACCGCTCTTTCCTACACGCCCGGCTCCCAACACCGCTAGCTTGATGTCTTTGGGTAGGAGGTAGTCGGAGGAGCACTCAGGAATGGGAGCCAGCAGAAAGTGCCCCGACATGTTGAGTGGCCGCATGGAGCGCGTCGGGCAGAGAAGCGCGCAAGCCGAGCGGTCCCGGCCTCGACCGCACCTGGAATCGGCTCTCGAGCGGAGAGCGTGGGAACACCGGGCGCCAGGACTGTGGCGGAGGCCAGCCTAGCTGTCAAGTTCCGCGGCTTTAAAAGCGCTCGGCTTGCGGGGGAGCGCGGTGGCCGCCTCCAGCTCCTCCTATTCCCCGCCCCTTCCCGTAGCGGCGAGCTGGGGCGGGAGTAGGGTGATCCAAGGGGACCGTCACCGCTGGCGTGCGCACCATTTCGCAGTCTGACGCGCAGTGCTAGGGAACCTGCACGGCTCTGAGCTCGCGAACCCTGGAAATACGGCCACCAGCCATAGAGACCATCATCCTGGCTTTCAGGCTGTATCTGGCACTTCCCCGGCCCCCTCCGCCCCACAGTGGCCAGTTTGGGTCACTAGCTCTGTAGGTCAACCTGAGATTAGAGATAATGCAGGAAAGAAAAAGGGAAAAGTGCAATTGGTCGGATATTTCTGCAACAATGGAAGGGATAGATTCCTGTGGAATGTTGCTTTTTATTTTCAAAAGGTGCTGAGAGGTGACATTCTTTTGGAAAAAGGGACGGAGGAGGCAAGAGCCACCCCCCCCCAACCCCTCCAAGTATCACTCGGGGTAACTACAGTCACTTACATGTGAAGTCCCCTTGGGGGCAGTCGTTTGCAGCTCAGCATCCAAACCCTGGCAGCCCCTGCCCTGCTGGCGCAGGCTGAATTGACTCATTGGTAAACAATGAGCATTCCACCTGCTGAGAGCTCTGGTTCTGGACTAATTCTCCATCATTAATTCTGTTTACGCACTTGAGTCACGGATTTACTTCATTGTTCAAGTATTTACTTCTAGATACACGGTGGAGTTTAGAGAGGGGGCGGGGAAAGGGAGGAAGAGGACACAGAAAGAGAAAAATGGCCTAGTTCTTGGAATTCAGGAGCCCACCATAGTAAGGCAGGAGCCTAATAAAGACCTCATGCTTTTGATCTGCTGTTTTCCAAACTCTTCTGTCCAACTGCCTATTAGCCCCACCCTATTCATTCCCTTGCTCTATCCTGGCTTTATCAGTTTTTGCTGCTTGACAAACCACACAAAATTTAATAGCTATAGGACAACAATCACTGCTTGCTATTGCTCACAAGGCTATATGGTCAGTGGGTGAGTCATTTAATCTAGGCCAGGCTCTGCAGATCTTGGCTGAGCTCTTTGCTGCACTAACAGAGTTCCTGGTCTTGGGAGAGGCAGAGAGCTGGCTACTGTGCTCCTGCATCGCTCAAGTCTGACAACTGGCTAAAGGCAATAATGGGGGAGGAGCAGTGACAAAATCACATGTGTTATATCCAGCAGTTTGGAGGGCTTATTCTTATGTGGCGAGTTCCAACCGAGTGAGTGGAAGTGGACAAGACCTCTTGAAGCCTTGGCTCCAAAGAAAAAAAAATCACTTCTGTTGCCTTCTGCCAGCCAAAGTAAGTCATGAGGTCAGCACAAATTCAAGGGGTGAGGAAATACACTCCACATCTTTATGGAAGCAGCAGCAAATTTGCATTTGAAATAGCTAGGACAGAAAGCAATAGAGAATGGGATCCATTTTTGGAATTGAACACACTGATGAAGGTGCCTCCATGCACCCAGCAGCCCAAGCAGGCCTGTGGAGCTGTCCTTGACCTCAACCTCTCACCCTCTCACATTATCCGTTAATCACCACATTCTATTATTTCTACTGCCATGTTTCTTGCTGTCTCCTCTTTTCCATCTTTATTGCTCTTCTCATTTTTCAACTGAAGAATTCTGAATAATCATGAAATAGACTAGAATAAATGGTAATTCAGTTTACTTGTTGCAGAGTCTTCTCTGATCACTGCCCACCCCTATCTTGCAATTAGTTACTCACTCTCAGGGCACCCTTGGCAGCATTGATCACAACTGTCATTACTTTCTGGTGGAATGTTTGTTTCATGTCTGTCTGTAGAGGGTAAGAACCCTAGCTTACTTCTATCGCTAGTGCCCAGCATGTAGTGGTACCTGGGACAAAGACCTCAATCAATGTTTGTTTATTGGCTGACTTTCTGAATGAATAAATGGATGAATGATGGCTTCACTGTAGGAACTAGAAAAAACAGAAGTCATACTTATGACCATCATCCCTTGCATTTGTAAGCAACTTGCTCTCAGGAGGAAGCATACCAGGAAACATCTGAGGTAACTGGCCCTATTTAAGTTGTACTGACTTTTGGCTGTTCACAAGGCAATCTTCTTCCATTATACTTCAGTTTAACAGGAAAGACCTGAAACAGGGCACCTTCCTCCCTGACAGAGGAAGAGGCACTAAAAAGGAAAAAACTGTTTAGGAAGCCACTGTGAAGCTGTTAGGAGTTGTTGGGTAATTCCGTGATGGGGTCTGGCACTGTTTACAAGATGGCTCTGCAGCACTGAGTTTTCACCCAAACAGAAAGGGAAGGATTATCTTGCTTTGTCTCTTTTATTGTGAAATAAAACAATTCTCACAAGAACTCAATCGATTTTCCCTTACATTTCATGGGCCAGAGCAAAGAAATCAAGAAAGAGATGATCCATGAAGGTTGGGATTGCCATGACTAGCTTAGGTGATCATGGGTACTCCTGGAGGATGGACACAGTGCTGTTCCCATTCAAAATTAAGAAATAGAAGAGAGCATGGCTGCTGGGTAGCAGCTAAGGGGATCTGCCACAAACCCACTTCACTTTTCTGGGGTGAAAATGCAGAACTTTCAAGGGAAAAAAAATGAGTCATTTTTTATTAAATCTTGAGCATATCTGTTTACCTCATTCCCTACTTTACATCCCCTCTCTGGAATAAGATTATTTTAGTTTAAGATCACCCAACAGTGAAGATTCCTAAGACTATGCTTTGCTCAGTGGCAATTATGCTCCATTTCGCACTTACCCTGCACTTTGCTTAGAAGAACTCAAAATGTTATTCTATCCTCCTTTCATTTACAAATACAGATAATCTGTGACCTTGTAGAGATAATAAGCTACTGAAATGAAGAATTATAAATAGCATTTCTCAAGTGTTGCTGCTTGTGTTCTGCTATTTCATTTTAGATTTCTTTGTGTCCAGAGTTATGTAAAATTGTGGTGCAACCAATATAACACAGGCATGCTGAAGTAGTTTTAAAAAGATAATAGAAATGCGTAGGCAAAGACTCAAATACACAAATCTGTGGGTGTTTAGAATGAGTATGAAGGTCAGAATTTAGTAATACACAAATAACATCAGACTTGGGAAATTATTAACTCTTTACCAGTCCAACAAGAGCTTGAATTCTAGCCCTTGGGAAAAAGGGTCCTCCTCTAATTCATGAACATCGCGCACCCCACCATCCATAACCCAATATCAACTATCTTTACCGTGTATCCTAAATCCATCGATAATGAGTTTCTGGTGCCTCAGACTCTGCTTTTGAGGTACTTTCCCTAGAATAGGAATGATGCTTCTGTCCTCTACTAATTCCCTATATTATTTTAACAATAGTCAAAACTGTTGAAAATCTACTGTCTGCAAGGCTCTAGTACAGAACACAAAGAACAGCTAACTTTATATTATTAAACATACAAAGTACCAGACACTCCTGCCTGCCTTCACAGACATCCCTGTTGTAGTGAAATTAATTATCATTTATAAATTATTGAATTTAGCAAAAAAATATTCTCAAATATTATCTCAATTCTTAACATTTAAGTCTTTATCAAACCTGTGTAACAGGTTAAAAAAAAAAAAAACAACTTCTAAATTAGGGTTCAGACAAGCTACATTTAGTAGTAGAGACCCTAAGCCCTCTGACTGTAAATCTGCCCCTTTCCACTGGTGTGGAGAGCAGGATGAAGAATACTCTGGACAGGTAAATGCAAGGACAAAGCAGATCAGGTGTAAGCTCCAATAGGACAACTACAGGGAGATCAAATCTGAGATGAGGGAGATATCAGGGAGTTACAGGGAAAGAACAACTGATCTCCAAGCCTGAGTAGTATTTGATAGGTGGAGGCTCAGAGGGAGGGTAAAGACATATGAAGTTGAGTGAAGAGTATGTGCAAAAAGGTAAGAAGGTAAATGGCAAGTTTGAGGAAATATGAGTAGTCTCATAGAGGAGAGACATGGTGGGGACCACAGGATTGGGGGCCAGCCTGTGGATCGCAACATGCACCTTGCTAAGAAGTTTACCAGGAAGCTCTGAAAAGGTATTGAATGTTCTTGCAAAGGGCGACTTTTCACAGGCAACAGTGTTAACGCTAGGAGCTACAAAGAACAGATATGGATTCTCTTCTCAAGGATTTTAAAACAATTTACTTACTCATCTCCCATGAGCAATTAATTTTCTTTTCCTGCTCAGGTGGAGCAAAAGTAAAAATCCAATTGCATCTTGAATTGAGCTATCACCTCATTTTCCAGAGACTAACTAAAGAGTACCCCACTGGATTTATTTTCCAACCCAAATAATTTCATAAAGCTCTAATCTTGATGGAAAAGTATGAGAGCAATTTCTCTGAGCCCTTTCCATTAATGGCTTATGAGATGGTCTGTCTGGTGGTCCCTCACCACACACTTTTCACTATTTGGAAAGAAACACAATACAGAATCTCAGTTGTTTATTCATTTCTCTATACACATTTTCCACCTTAGCATTAACAGCTGCAGATTCTGCCTATTGTAATGAAAAACTAGGAACCTAATAGATTTTTGTGCTGAGTTTTTTGCATGCATAATACAATTTTCTCCCCTTAAGTAGGGCTGGGAATGGAGAAATATGGCATAAACACTCATTGCAAGTAAACCCAGTTTCAAATGATTATTCTTGTGCTCAGAAAAGAATAAGTCCACCTTGTTTGTATTTTACCAATTCTATCACTAAATTTTAGGAATTTCTTTATAATATTTTAGCATTTTTCTATCCCAATACAGAGAAATTATTAATGCTATACTAGTGGGAATATGGAAGAGATATGAACCCCTTTTTTTTAAGAGAGAGAGAGGGGGTGGATTTTTTAATATTTATTTTTTTAGTTTTCGGCAGACACAACATCTTTATTTGTATGTGGTGCTGAGGATCGAACCCAGGCCGCA